AAAAAAAAAAAAAAAAAAAATTAGCTGGGAGTGATGGCATGCACTCCTGTAATCCCAGCTGCTCGGGAGACTGAGGCAGAAGAGTCACTTGAACCCAGAGGTAGAGGTTGCAGTGAGCCGAGATTGCACCACTGCACTCCAGCCTGGCCAACAAAAGTGAAACCCTGTCCCAAATAAATAAACAAACAGACAAAATAACATTTTATTTGTTTTTACAAATTCTTTTTATAGATTCTAGTTATCTGTTGAAAGTCTCCATCTTCTCATCCATTTTAGTTTTTTTTTTTTTTTTTTTTTTTTTTTTTTTTTTTTTTTTTTGAGATGGAGTCTCACTGTGTCACACAGACTGGAGTACAGTGGTGCAATCTCAGCTCACTGCAATCTCCGTCTCCCAGGGTCAAGCTATTCTCTTGCCTCAGCCTCTCCCATAACTGGGATTACAGGCCCATGCCACCACAGCCGGCTAATTTTTGTGTTTTTGTAGAGACAGGATTTTACCATGTTGACCAGGCTGGTCTCGAACTCCTGACCTCATGATCTGCTGTCCTTGGCCTCCCAGAGTACTGGGATTGCAGGCATGAGCTACCACATTCGGCCCTAGGTTTTTAATAGAAAAACCTTGTAAATCTTTGTCTCCTCAATCCTGAAAGACTACAGGACTTTTAGTTCATTCCTTTAGAGACTTTGAGCTTAGTTTAACGTTGAGCTTAGCTTCTAGTTTATTCTGCTTTAAAATATGAGAAATATCTTGAGAGAGATACTAGCCATGAGTTTGAGGAAGCCATATCCTTCTAATGGGGCTTTGTTTCCTAAACACAATGATTTTGCTTTTGAAAAGTTTTGAGCCAATCCCTGAGCCTCCCAAGCAGGTCTTCAACTCAGCAAATATCCCACATGAAAAATCAACCATGCTTTGGGACTTATCTAATTTCAATCAGTTCAGTCACCCCAAATGACCACAAAGCTCTTCTGGGTTTTCTTTGCCCCAAAAAACTCCTCTGCCTATGTTAAGAGTGATCTAAAATTAGCAAATGTTTCCACAAAAGAAAATAGCTAGTTATTATCAATTCACCTTGGAAGGGCTTCTTCTTGTCTGGAATTTCAGTTTACTTAATCCTTGAAGACAGGTATAGTGGTTTATATCTATAATCCGAGCACTTTGGGAAGCCAAGGTGGGAGTGTTGCGGGAAATCAGAGAGACCTATGAGGTTACAGGAGGATTTATTTAAGGTGTACAGAGGCTCAGTGGATTTGCATCCAAAGGACTGAGCATCGGAAAAAGAGGGCAAGTGCCTCTTATGCATCTAAGGGTGTGAAAAGAAGCAGGCTTACAGAAGCGAGAACAAAAGCAGTTAATCAATACAGTGACAGGCTTACACATTACTCTTGGTATGTGGGCCAGGTGGCTTTATCTCGAACCTAGGCTGGTTCAGTGTGGCCTCCTTTCTGATGTCTAGGGAGCCATCCTGTTTGGACATTTCTCATGGCCTTTATTGTGTTATTTAGATATAAAACAGGCTTGCGATACTTAGATATCTATAAATTCTTAGGCTTACTCATATCATGCGGGTAGGGATGTGGGAGAAAATTTATGCTTTCCTCCAGATGGTGAGGGAGTATTGGGAAAGTCTTCAGAGCACATTCCCTTAAGTTCTGGCTTCTGAGATAACGATATCAAAGCTCCTGCAGAGCCTGGGCTTATAAACTGTCTTCAATTTAACACAAGGAACTAACTTTTATGTGACTTTATTTATTTATTCTTTTATTTCCCTGCCTCATTCCCCCCGTTGATGCTTCCTGTGAGTAAAAACTCAATAGAAAGCATCACTTCTATTTAGTTCTTCATGACGGGGCAGGTCTTCTGTTGTAGGCAAATACTGGTATTTCATAGGAGCCATCGGTCGGGTTGCGGTTGTTTTGTCTACTAAAACTTCTGTAGTAGCCTGAATGCTTCTAATAATAAGGGGCAAGAGACAAGAGAGTATTAAGCAATTCCCTAATATAGCCAGCACTACTCCTATTAATGTTTTAAAACCACCAAAGGGTGAAAACCAACCTCCAGAAAGGGAATCTGGAAACCATCCGGGTTTCCAGTTCTGAACTGGAACATGAGCTAATTTTTGCACCTTCGCAGTAATTTCCATGATAGTTTTTCTATTATCATCAATTTCTAAGTAACAGTTAGTTAGGTTGAACTTTCCACACACTCCTTTTTCCTGGGCAAGGAGATTCTAAAGCTAGCCTATTCTGGTAACTGTATTCCTCATCTTTGTGGATTGCTGGGCTAAGAGATCTAAAGCATTTGCTGTCTCATTGGTAATGATCTCAGGTACTGCTTGTAACCTTATGATGCGGTTAAGC